CTAATTCTTCATTACCAGATTTAGCTGATCTAAATTGAAATGATTTTCCTTTTTAATAGAAAAAAAAACAGAAACGACTAGAATGAATAAGGCAATTTTTCTGTCATCAACTAAATTGACATTTTTTTTTATCGATTTTCAATAAAACACGTTGTGTTATGATATTCCACATGTTAGTACTGAAAAATATTTTGGTCAGTAATAACATATGGAATATCATCAGGCAACATGTGTTGCTGCAAATCGATTTTAAAAAAAAGTCAATTTAGTTTGAAGCAGAAAAATTGTCTTCTTCACTCTAATTCAATTCTTTTTTACTTTTTTCCATCATTTGATTGTATTGGACTTTGAAAAAAATCATTACTAAAAAAATCTAATGAACCAACAAAACCAACACGAGCATTATTATGAGCTTGAAGTACAGATACTAATAATGTTCGTTTACCAACTGTTGTTGGATACTAGAAATAAAACATCAATTCATTTCAAAACAAAAAAAAACGTAAAACTATGAATAAATTCTTTACTTCAGTTAATGTTTTTTCATCAGGATTAGCCGTATATGAACTTGATGAACCAGTTAAAACATCAAGTAATAATGAATTCTCTGAATCAGATGACATTCTTAACACAAAAAAAATTTTTTCATAAAAAATAAACAAAAATTTTTATTCTTTACCCAATGCCTCGAAAAAGAAATGGTAGACCAACTTTTTTAGCTTCTCCAGTTATTAATTCGGATGCTAAAAGATTATCTGGACTAGCAATAATTAATGTATGCTAAAATTTAAAAATAAGTTTTATTTCAAAAAAAAAAACAAGTTTGTTTTACTTGTCCATTATCATTAACATCATAATTAAGATGATCAATAACAGCATTTTTATCATCAGCAAATTCAATACCACATTCACCAGCAAATTCACGAATAGCATCACCTTTAGATTTATTCATAAAATTGAAAAAAAAAACAAGAATTTTTCATTAATTATCTTACCGATTATATGACTACCAGCAACAAGAA